ACTCACACACACGCACACGTCACTCACACACGCACACATCACTCACACACACACACACGTCCCACACACACACACACCACTCACATACACGCACACGTCACTCACATACACACACACGTCCCACACACTCGTCCCAAGCACACACACACACACGTCCCACAGCCAGACATCCCACCCACACAGCCCCATGTCCCATACACACACCCCACACACACTCTCACCTCCGCAGTTGTTCCTTCTCTCCTGGGAAGGATCCAGTGTCGGCAGTTGGGGAAGAGCTCCAGGGTCCAGTTGTCACCTCGTGGGTGCAGCTCCAGGGGGGCAACAAGCGTGTTACACACACACACACACATCCCCCAATTGTCTTTATTTCACACATATCCGCCAAATTGTCTTTATTTCACCCCCCCAAAATTGTCTTTATTTCACACTCTCCGAAATTGTCTTTATTTCACACACACACCCCAAATTGTCTTTATTTCACCCCCTCAAATTTTCTTCATTTCACACCCCCCCTCAAATTGTCTTTATTTCACACAACCCCCTCAAATTGTCTTTATTTCACACAACCCCCTCAAATTGTCTTTATTTCACACAACCCCCCCAAATTGTCTTTATTTCACCCTCTCCCAAATTGTCTTTATTTCACCCTCTCCCCCCCTGCCTTTATCCCCCCTGTCTCCCGTGTCCCTGGGCTGTGCCCGAGGTTCATTCCCTGCTCTCTCTCCCGCAGTGTGTTTGTGTGGCGGTGCCTGTGAGGAGCCTGTTCCTGCTGCAGGGGCTGGGACAGCCAGGAAGGCCCCGGGATGGTGCCTGGGGGGCACCTGCAGAGCAGCCCCGGGACAGCCCCAGGGCCTGGGACGGAGGCCGAGGTTTGCAGGGAACCCTTTGGGGCCCTGGGAGGCCAAAGGGGGAACAGTCCCCTCACGGAGCTGCTTTGGCCCAGTCCTGTGCTGTTCAAACCAGGGAGAAAACACTGAGAAAATCCCGGGCCCTTCCCTTCCCAAATTTCAGGCCTGGCCCTTTGGGCAGGAGGGGGAGGCTCTGACCACACCCGCTGCCCAACCCACCCGGGGGCCCCCAGGACAGCTGGGAGCCTTTCCCGAGCAGGAGGGGGGCACTCTGCAGCTTTCTGGAATTGGATGAGCAAAGTATCACCTTTTTAAGTCCATTTTGCTTTTAAATACATACATTTGGCTAAATTTCTATCCATGAAGTGCCTTGGAATACTTTTCCAGCAGTCTGGGCTCCAGCCTTGCCTCCCACCCCCTGCTTTCCACACACGGTGCTACGACTCTGGGCCCAGGAGGGCTGAGCCACCCCCTGCTCCAGCTGGACTGACCCCAGCCCTGGGCTCTGCCTGGCCTTTAGTACCTCCCCAGGGAATTCCAGCAGCATTCCGTGCTGCCAGAGGGACCAGCTGCTGGCACTGCCCCGGAGCAGGGGGCACACAGGGTATCACACCCGGGCACACTCACCTCCACACCCACACCGAGGCTCATTCCCGCAGAGCTCCTGCCCTCTGCTCTTCCTGGGAAAACGTGCTTGACAGGGAGCTGCTTCCACAGGCAGGGGCCAGCCAGAACGTTAGAAAAAGCCCCCAGGGAGCCCTGTTTCCCGTTCCAGAGGGGCTCCCTGGAATGTCCCTGGAGGGCCCTTGGGCTCCTCTCCCCATCCAGCTGCTCCTGCTCCCGGAGCCCCTCGGCCCAGCCCGGGCACTGGGGCAGCTGAACTGAGCCCGGAGCTGCCCCAGGGGCACTGGGACCACAGACATTCCCAAAAGGAAAGGAAAGTCACTCTCCATTTGTTACAACCTTCTGCCAGAACCAAAAACCCCCAGGGACGGTGGACTTGGAAAAAGCAAGTTCAGCTTTTTCCACGGGAACTGTTCAGAAAGGAACAGCAAACGTGGGCAATGTCAAAACTGGCATTTAAGCTACTTAAAATTCCTGGGGTGGAACCACTACCGGATCTTTAAATTACCTTTCTTTGTTAATTAAAATAAATAAAGGCTAAAACAAACCATGTAGACTTACTTACATTTAGTCTTTGCAAAGCAATGCTAAATAGTGCTTTAGTCCCAGTTCAGGACAACAGGCTTTGAGCTCTGGAACCTTCCTGCCAAGGCCACTCTGCTGCCACTGCATGGAAAAGTAGCGAAAACATCCCGTTAAAGGAGTGGATTCCTGCTTGTTTAACACACAAAGTGCTTCAGCAACCTCCAAGAATCCCCTTTTTTTACAGCTGAATTTCTGAATGCCTTTTATGACTGCACAGCAGAGCAGTTGGGCACACACAGACAGTCCCTGTGCAGTCTGGTTTTAGGGAAACCTCTGGGATCCAATCCTGTTCTGTCACGTGGGGACATCAGTGAGCTCCTCTGCTCTGCTCTAATCAATCATCTCTGCCTTCCTTCCACAGTGATTGTATCCCAAATAACTGCAGTTGTGTGGCAGAACTAATTAATTAATTAATCAAGTGATGTGAAAAGTACCTTAAAGCAATAGTGTGTGTCAGGAAAACACAGTCTCTGTTTCTCTGCTCTGGCTTCACGTATAAAGTGTTCCAAGGAACGCTGTATTATACTGTAAACTAAAACATTAATGCATGAATTTATATTTTCAATGGTCAAGATGCCATTAAAGGAAAATCTCTGTCTCAAATAAATTTGGATACAAGTTTTCCATGTCCAATTCTTAAATCCAAATAGCAAGTTGGGACTTGCTTTACAATTCCCTTCCAAGCAGAAAATGGCCTCCAACACTGTGTCAAAACCCAAAGAAATCAAGACCCCTCAGACTTACTGGGAGCTGGAGCTGGAGCTGCCCAACCTGGTTCCAGAGCCGGGAGAGGAGGAGCCGGGAGGAGCCGAGGGACACGGCTGGAACCACCTGGAGCCACCCCACCACCTCCCAACAAACACAAGGGGTTAGAGCTGCCTCAGACACCAAAGTACCCAGGGCACGTTATGTCTAGAAGCTTTATTGAGACTCGGGGTTCTGGGGTTGGGGTTTTTTGCAGTTTTGTTGGTTTTTTACATCTCACAATGCATTCCACAGACTTAGTTCAGTACAGCTCAAACTGCAAGTGTATAAATGTTCACTTCTCATTTCTTGCATAACAGGACAGGGCTTAAAAGTTTCCAAACAATATTTGCAGCATTAGATACTCGGTCCACAGATTATCAGAGCCTGAGAGCTGGAGAATTATTTGCTCAAGATCAACTACTGTACATTTGGGCAACAAAGTGGACACTCAATCCCACATTTACCTACAGGTCTCTAGGGTTTTTCCCTTAGAAATGAGGCAAACTCAGAGAACCTTAAAAACACTACAAGGCTTACCTGAAACACGTCTAAAAAAATGCATCAAAGAAGGTTTTGAGGGCTCAACTGCAGGTTTCCAAGTGCCTCACAAGGAGCATTCCTGCGTCCCAGCTGGCCCAGCATTATGGGCCTGTGATACAGATCTAAAAACCACATTTAAATACATTTATATATTTATAAATTAAATTTTAAACTTCCTCATGTTGCAGCCTTGGGGGGACACCTGCCCCTCACAATAAGGCAGAGCAGGCTACTCCAGTCAATCATCTGTAGCCCTGATTGCCAGGGCTTCAGATCCTGTCAGTCCAGGCAAAAGCAGAGGATGGATGGGACTTGCCTCTCACTGTCCAAAGAATTTAACACACAGATTTGTTATCTGACTGAGGGGATGAGCATTGTCTTCACCTGGATGCTACACCCCCCCCCTCACACACATATTTATAGAGATTTCCTGAGCTCTGCTTCTTTAGACTCTCATGCAAAAAATGAAAAAAAAAAAAGGTGTTTTTTTGTATAAAAGCTACAGATAAAGTGAAAGACTTGTATGGTACCGGCAAAGTGGTTTAGGTAGTCATGACAACCATGTCAGTGCTTATAAAACTTCCCTTCTTCTTAATCTCTTCTGCAGTTCAGATAACACACATGTGAGCTGTAAAAACGAGGATCTGAGCTCCAGCAGTGGAATGAGAGGCAGAATGTCCATAACACCAAACCAGGGGGAGCTGAGACACTCACAGTTCTCTGGGGTCAGGAATAACAAGTTCTGTCCACTTCCCAGAGGGGCTCCCCAGTGTGTCCAGGCTTGAGAGAGACCAACAGCCTTGTCCCAGATTCCCCCAGGGAGGGAGGGAGAGGGTTAACCCTGATTTTAAGGGAAGAGGATCAGACACTAAACACACATATTATAAATGCAGTCAAATTCCCATGTGTTTAATATTTCCTTCAGCATCTGATGCCACGAGGGCTCTGCTGCTCTGGGACTCCTCCTGCATGATTTGTGGGTTCCCAAGAATCAACATCCCCATTTTTCTTTCAATCTCCTCTGCTCATTGCTTTGTCACTTGGTTTCCAATGTGGGAATTTAAAACCCCTCTCAGCTTTAGCATTCAGAGGTGGAAACCGAAGCACAGCAGAAATAAATACCCCTCTACACCCAGGGAGAAGTGAAGGATTTGCTTCCAGCAAAAAGGGAGTGACTGCTGTCAATGAGACAAACCATCACCTCTCCAATCAAGTGATAAACTCACGAAAATTGCAAAGCTTTAAAGACCCAAACCTGCCAAGAGCCATGTGGAGCTTCAAAGGGAAAAACAAGGTTGGCATCTGGACTCTTTAATAGCTGGATTTACTTACATGTACCATTATTACTGTTAAGTAGAAGTTACTGATAAAAAAATAACTCAGACTTGTCTTTTATAATAAAATAACTCTGGTCAGCAGGTGCATTTTTTCTCCTTTCTCTCAGCTGTGAAGAATAATTGTGCCACGTGTAAGAATGCCCATATTTTATATGATACTGAACTTAGAAGGTCTCCATCAGCAGTGCTGGGGAAAGAGCTCCATCTTCTGGGAAACAGCCCCGCGGTGGCCAGGGAGGGACAGTCCCCTCGTGTCCCTTCTCCAGGAACACCCAGCAGATCCCAGAGGCTTCTCAGAGACATTTCCCAGCGCAGGACAGTTCCTCTCAGAAATCCATCCCTGCTTTGCAGGTGGCAGGGCTGTTAAAGCAAAGAAAGGGGACTGAGTAAATCAAGATTTCCCAGCTGATCCACTGCAATAAAAGCATCTCAAAACCACCAGTGGGCACAGCAAATACACCCGAGTAACCCAAATCCATGGTCAAACCGGTATAAAATACAAATATCCCTGGGATAGTCTTTGCCACAAGCAAAGTTCCAGAGTTCACATGATGGGAATCAGGGATAAAACACAAAAATATTTACCAAGGTTAACACAGACCAGCAAATACCCGAGACATCTTCTCCAGCAGGTAAAGACTGGAAGTTACCTACAGTTCTATGAAGTGGGAACAAATGTCCCATGGTTTGGGACATCAGATTTAACAGTGTCTAAGTGGCAGTTTGGGATGGAAGCTTTGCTTTTCTTTTGAACTCCAAAGCATCCACGTGGTGAATTTTCCCATTCCCATCAATCCCAAGTGCATCTGTCCCTGCCCTGGTGATGCCAAGGAAGCTCCTTGGATAGGAGTTAGTGACTTAGAGCTGTGTCATTCCATCAGATTCCGCTTCAGCCATGGAAAGCTGACAAAGTCCAATAAGCAAAGAGCTGAATCACCTTCCTGTGAACATTAATGCCAATAGCTGAGAACTTTCTGTTAATTAGGTACAAACCCATGACTTTATTCTTAGATACTCAGTCCTTTTTGTGCAGATTTGACAGCACTGCCATAACCACCTCCTCCTTTAGGTTCCTGGGACTTGCTCATTAACTACAGAAAGATCTGGAGTTATCTTCAAGGGGAACTGATCTTATTAAATGTCTCCACCTTCTTTCTGTTCTTCCAGAAATAATGAGCCTGAAACAAATCCAATGCAGAGCAAGTGCCCTGGTTGGTCCCAGGGAGTTGTGCATCGTGTTCCTGCACTGACCTGGAGGGAGGGGACTCCTACCAGGCAACAAATGAGGACAAATAATCCTCAGAGGAAGGCATCTGACACCAACTTTCCCACCTGAGGACCACAGGTGATATCTTCTCCTTGTATTTTGGTTATGGGAAGTTCCAGATGACTATGGGAGCTGCTCCCTCTGTCCAGAGCTGGAGGTCAAGGAGGCAAAAAGCCTGGAATACCTGCCAGGCCCCTTGGAAATGGCAGTCTGGGGTTAAGCTCTCTCTGCAAAGGCAGGGAGAGGTCAGACCTGTCTGGCTTACCATCCAAAAATAACTTTTTGCCAAGCTTTAATCAATGAATATCAAAAGACTTGCTGATCCAGACTATAAAACACAGTTTCAGCTCCTCATCTGCAGTGCAGTCAGTTCTCTGGGACATGGATCCACAGGGAAACCCCACTCCAGCTCCAACAGAATGTCCATAAAGAGCAGACCCCTCTAACAGAGATTTCAGTAGCACTCCACAGCAACGCTGAGGTGGCTTTGCTGTTCCTACAAGTCACAGATTCGCAGGAAGAGGCAACAGTTGGCTTTGCCTGTTTATTATCCAGGAGGGCAAAGATAAGGAAACAAAAAGAAGAGAATTCCCAGCACTTTTAGAGCAGCTGCTTTACTGCCCTGAGACTCTGCTGCAGGATTTACCTGCACCTTTTCCCAACACAACTTCTTGGACAAATCATCCCCTGGATGCTGCATTTAATCCAGTATCATTTTTAATGAATGCTTGGGATGGTGTTGCACAAAGAGTGATCAGACACAGCTTTTCAAGTGACAACTCTCCCCATCCCCAGGGATTCAAGGCAGAATTCTCTTCCTCTCTCCAAGGCCAAACATTTCAATTACCTTTTTCTCCCTGCTGGTTCCCGTGTTGTTCTTGGCTGGGGGTGTCCTGGTCAAGCACAGCATTACCTGCAGCCACACTTCCAACAGTGTGTGCCAGGCCTCTCCCCTTCTCCAGAGGGAATTCCCACTCAGGGGCCTCTCACAAAGCTTTGCTGCCTGTTTGCTCTGTGGTGTAAATGATGTGGAGCACACAAAGCACTCAGAGCCACAGGCTGGATTGCCAGCAGGGGATAAGTACCCGGCACATGAGGAGGGAATCCCTGTGGAGAGCTGAGCCAACGCCCTGCCGAGAAGATCCAGCCACGTTTTCTTCCCCTCAGCTCCTGCATCCATTACTCCACAGATGTTCAAGTCAGGTGGTCAACGATGAAGAATAAAAATTCCAATATTCACCTTACAGTTGAAAGTGCTGCAAGGCCTGAGCAGCTGATTGCAAAACAAGGAATTAATGCTCAGCCAGAGATGCTGCTGTGTCAGACACCCTCCAAGCGCCGTGGGAAGCACAAGGTGTCCTGGAATTCCTCGGCACAATCCCTAAATGTGGGCAGGAAGGAGGCAGCCCCCCCTGGCTCCGAGGTGTCCCTGACATATGGTGCATTTTGCCTCGTCTGGGAGTAATTTTATTGCCTTTTTTTTGCAGAGCTGTTCTTTTTTCAGCGGGGCTTCAGAGGAGTGATAATTAATTTTAAAATAACCACGGGCTCCTTTTCAACTTTTCCACACTACCAGGAGAGGCCCCCACTGGAGCACATCCACAGCCAACTCTAATTAGGCACTGCCTTGCTTTCCCAACCTCCAAACAGGCCTTTCCTCAGAGGATGGAAAATTTAGTCAACTCCAAGGTCCCACGTAGGTCAAGACTTCTTTTAGATGCTGCCTCTGCATTTCACATCCCACAGGGACAGGATAAAGGTGCTCACACTTCCTTTTTATAGGGACAAGAGAAGTGCTGAAAGGGGAAACTGAGGCACGGAGAGGGGACTCGACCTGCCCAAAATGTAGAGACTGAACACACAAAATACAGATTATGAGTCTCCTGGCCCAATGTTTGCTTCCTCTGAATCCCCAAGGATCTGAAGAGAGAATGACATGGTTTTCCACTTTTCCGAGGAAACAGTTGACTTCAAACCTCTGGGACACATGTCCCACCAGGAAGGTCTGACCAAAATCAGGAAGCCTGAGCAAAACCTGAAGTGCCTGAAATACAAGGCTTTGGAATAGAATTCTGAAAGCCCCAATACTCTGGGTCATGCCCTGACCACTAAAACTCCTGGAAAATTCACACCTACGACACCTTCAAACCCACAACTATTATTGACAACTTTGCAAAATCCAGGATCACAGAATGGGCAGGAATGCAACACACTGGTTAATTCATTCTTTATAAAGACTCTTGGAAAATCAGCTCCCTCAGACACTCCCCTCTAGTGCCAAACATCTTTTTTAGACCTTCTACTGCTGGACAAGGGTTTCCAAGTGGGAATTAAATCCAGAGGCTAAAGTGCACTGCAGTTTGCAGCCCCAACATCAGGTGTTCACGTGGCAGAGAGACACGGAGCAGGGTCTGCCTCTGGAAGGGAAACCAGGTGGAAAAGGCACCACAGCAGGTCCAGGGAAATCTCAGCAGAAAAGAACAGTGCAGTATGATCCCATCCCTGTGCTTAACATTCCTACCTGCTCGTTGGACCAAACTGGAATTCCACGCAGGAATGTTTTACAGCAGTAATTTCAAATGTGGGTTGTTTCACTCCCATCTCGATTCTGTGGGAAGTAAACAGATTAAAGGTTATTTTCACCCCCTCCCTTCATTCTGGTGTATGTGAACCAACTGCAGGGCCAAGGGCTGAGCCCCATTGCTCCTGTTTAACATTTTAGGGGAGATCAGACTGTTTAAAGGGTCACTGCCCTCCCCCTGAAACCTTTATCTGTACACACGTTTCTCCAAGGCAGAACAAATAAAATCTCTGTGTCAAACAGCTCAGTGCCAAAAGCCCAGTGAGTCATATCCTATAAACTACAGAGATTCCCAGGAGCTTTGGGGGACTGGAGCAGGAGCAGCACGCAAACAATAAAGCAGAAAAAACACCCAGGATGTGCTTTCTATTGTGATTATTGAATGGCCACACTGCAGACCGTGCAAAACCAACTTGGCTTTTAAGTTATTTTCACTTTTTTATGTATAATAAAATTTTGGGTAAAAAATGAAGAGCCCCAATGCCATTGCTTTGAGCAAAGCACCTCCACGTGCCCCACAAGCTGCAGAACAGAGGGGTTTGCAGCAACAAACCACAAATGGTCACAATATTTAAACCAAAATTCCTACACCCGTAATTCCAAAGTCACTCTGAGTTTATAAAGATGTAAGAGGAACCATAATTAATACTAAATACAGCCTGGATAACTCTACAGCCTTATAGCTGCTGTTTCCAGGGAAATGCTAATTACAAGGGATCTTTTCTGGGATAGAATGTAGTTTTACTGCCATATATGTGTAAATAGTCTACTTGAGCATCACAGACAAATCCACCTCAACAAACCCACAGGATGAAATGCAGTTTGTGTTATAAAAAAAGAAAAAAAAAAGAAAAAAAGAATATTGTCCCAGTCTGATGTTCTGTGGCTGTGCCACTTGTCTTCTAAGAATAAGTGGTGCTGTGAAAAGCATTTTAAAAAGCTACAACCAGCAATTTAACAGCTAAAAACTGGCATTTTAAAAGCTAAATTGGCTTTGTCTTTTGAGACTTTTGGTTGACTAACAAAAAGTTTCGGTAGAAGAACCACAGATTTTGCATAGAAGAAAACAGAGAAATGAGTAGATGTGGATCCCACTGGAAATGGGAAGTTATCACTTGTTCCAGCTTTTCACAACTCCATGAAAACAACCCCCCAGGAACTCAGGCGACTACTGCAACTGCAAACTCAAAGTCAAATGTTAATTCATCTCTAAATAAAGCCTGATTAAATACTAAGAGGTCGATTTGCAAACCAGCTTCCAAGGTGCATAATGAGCATGGTGGCTGTGCCACACGTGTATTTTTAGCTCTCCCATGTGTCACCTTTCCCACACCACGGCACACAATCCTACATCACCTCAAGGCTCCTCTGCTTTAATCCTGCACTCCTGGGCACTGCAGAGGTGAAGAAACGTGGATCCACTGCACAGCTGAGGCTGGACAGGACCTCAGGAGTAACCTGGTCCTGTCTCCTCCCTAAAAATCCCCCCCCCTCTTTATAGGCAAGGCCTGTGTTTGGGACAGAGACAACCATCCAGAAAAACCCTCTATACAAAACAAGGTGCAGCAGTTCTTGTTCTGCAAACTCTCAGTGTAAATCCAGGCTGATTTTACTGACTTCAGTGAAATCCTTGTAAAATGTTACAGACACAGTGAAAAGCCTGAGGATGGATGGGACACCAAAATGCTGCAATGCTGGATGGAAGAAAAGTCCAGCAATAGGAGTGGGTTTGTGGGGTTTTTTAAAATCCTGATACAGAAAAGTACTTCAAAGAACAAACTCTATAAACACTTCAAGCATTCAACTGATTATGTCTCATGGAAACCAGTGCAACTAAGGATATAAGACATGTGTTTTAAAGCACAAGAGTAAAGTTTTTTCCTAGAATTGGCTTTAATCCCTGTTATTTTTTTTTCCTACCACAGTTTTCCAGCTGTTGTCATTTTGGCCCTGTCCCTTCCAGGGCTTGCCTTACACGTTCTCAGGAGCATTTCTTTATACCAGCACATGGACATTCATTGTTCCATAAATTTTCCTAGGTTTAAAAATTGCATTTTTTTGATTCTAAGGAAAGGCAGGAGTCCCTCGAAACCTCCCATATATGCTCCCAAAAGTGAGAGGGAAGATGAAAAAAAAAAAACCCTAGGAAATAAAGGGAAAAAAAGGAAATAAATGATGTTTGGTTAGGGATGGGAAGAGCTGAATCCTCCTCTCATGAGCTGAGCCTAAAGCTCTGCCCACAGTGACATTACACAGATGGCCAAGTCACCAATTACAGTCCAATTAATCTTCACTTATCCCAGTAGGAATTAAATGATTCCAGGTGTGGTTTACACAGGATTTCAGCAGCTCAGTGCTGATCTCACAACAGAAAATCTCCTAAATGCAGGTTATTCACCCAGTGTGGGAGACAGAGACACCCAAAACTCCTGAGGAGGCTGCAGGGGGTGAGGATACACCCTCTGCCTGCAGACATCTCTAACTGAGGGATGGAGCCTTTACATCTTTACTGGGAATTATAATTCCCCCCAGACATGGGAGTTTGATTTCCCCAACAGCTTTCTCTCCTCTCAGCCCAGTTGTGCAATCTCCTCTCCCTACAAGCAGTTTGTGCTCGTGGAACTTTCCTCCAGTTCTTCACAGTCTTGACAGCAAAGTTTGTGACTAATAATTAAAGGCTAATGTTTGTCCTCTTCCCAAACTACTGAATTACAGCCACTCTCTGTCTCCATTCCTTTGAAGTTCATTAAACAAAACAAAAAAAAGACTTAAAATCAGCAAGGTTCCCTATGTTCCACATGCTTTGGGATAAACAAGAGACAAGACAAGACAAGTGCATTTATCTAATTTAAAATATATATATATATACTTGCCAAGCAGTTGTGACTGCTACAGCTGTTCTAAGCCCAAATGCTACAGAGAATCTCCAAGAATCAAACTAATTATTTCCTCCAGTTTAAGTGCATTTAAGGTGTGGCAGTTCCAAGGAATTAAGTCAAAATAGGTCAGCTGAGCTATTGAGAAAGACACCAAAGCACAGAGCTTCCTGGAATGGCAGAATGAGCCTGTTCTCCTGCCACCTGAACACTCTGTGTCCCTCTGCATCCCCAGGGACTTACAAACCCCTCACATTTGTGAAAGGGTCACAGCCAGTACCATTTCAGAGCTTGGATTGTGGGTTATCCCACAGAATTCCAACACTTCACCTGGCAGTGACCTGCTCTCCTGACACACCCCCATGGTTTCCAATTCCTCCAGTTTATCCCGAACCATCTGCTGGTCACAGGCTCCAACTAAACCAAATGTGCTGTCCCAGTTCTCTTTGGAATCCACAGCTCTGCCCTTTTGTAGCTGCTGTGCTCAGCTCTAGAGCATTTCCTTGGGGTGCAAACCCCCAGCCTGAATTCAGAGCCTTTGCTCTGATGTAGGGAAATGCCACAGCAGAGGCAGAGCAGAGAAGAAAGAGGGTCAAATCCTTAAAACAGGGGCCAAATCCTGCTTTCACATCTGCTGCCACCTCTGTGCCACGAGGAGGTTCTTCATCCAAACCACTGCACTGACCTGCAAACCTTTACTGGTTGGATTTAATAGAGCAGCTCTTTAAAACCATCCATGAGGGTCTTAATACTCAATGTTTTTGAAAGGGACCCATTCATGCAGCATGAACTGAAAGCACCCAAAACATCAGCAACTGTCACAGCTCCTCGGCCAGACCCGTGGGTTCCTCCTGGAATTCACTCCCATGAATTCTCAATCCTGATGTCCTCATTTCCATGCTGTCAGCAAACTGAACCTCAGGCCCTCCCAGGAATATTTACATCTTACATCCTCTGTTACATTCACTTCAAGTGATTCCAAACAGCACTTTGCAAAATGACACTTCATGGCATCATCTAAAACCACTCTGAAAACAAATTAGAGCCCCAAAGTTTCCCCAGCAAGGGTTTGTCTAAAGGCCACCCCTCACCAACATTCACCTCTCAAACCTGCACTTGAGCTCTGGCTCAGCTCAGGGAGAGCTTTAGGAAACAAAACAAGAATCCAAACAAACCCAAACTGCTGAACATTCCTTAAGCAAGAACATCTCGCTGTTTCCTGAAGTGTCCTTGATATATTTTCCCCCAAAGTCTCCTTTATCACTCGTTGCTGCTTCATTTCCTGCTCTTGCTGCCCTGAAAGGTCTTTTCTTGGTGTAATTCAACAGTAAAAGACTAAAAGCAAGCAGGTAAATCAAAGGCACGTGACATTCATTATAGCAATCTTTCCCTCATATCCTCCCATGTAACAAAAACCTTGGCAAAGTCTGGGAAAAAAAAATCCACTCTGCAGTTGTTTAATTTCCTTTTTTTTTTTTTTAAATACTTGTGATATGTCTCAGTTAGAAAAAAACCCTTTAAATGCCAAAGTATCCTGATGGGGAATTTGGATTTTGGGCTTGAGATGAGCATGTGGGGATGGCAGAATGGTGTCAGAGTGTGATGCCAGGCTGGGATGAACCCGATACAGCAACTTAGAGATGCAGACTGTCAAATTTCCAAAGGCTCCTTTGATCAAAGAGTTTTTCCAGCACAGCTTTTAATCCCTTCAAACCTGAATAAAGGTGAGAGCTGGTAGCTCTGAAAGCAGCTTGTTACATCCTGGCACCCAGCCTGTCCTTTGGTGTTTTCAAGAGGCAGGATAATGTATCCTAAAAAGGGTTTAATTTCTGAAAAACAGATTAAAAAGAGCCCTTTCCCCTGCTATTTTTCAGACTCAGAAAGCCTGGTATCAAGTCTGGTGTAGCACAGAATTACTCCTGCTCTGAATGACCTTTGCCAGGGCTGGAAATTTGCTGCTTTTTCAGAAATTAAGCACTTTCTAGGGCACATGGAAAAATCAGACATGGAAAAAATGCCAAACTCGTGACAACCACCTCCTTCCTGATGCCCAGTGTTTGTGACATCCCATGTAATGTCATCTGGGTTAAACCCATTCATCTGGAATTTCTCATGCATGTCTCTGCTTCGACTGAAGACATTTAAATCAGA